GGGGCTCGATCCCAGGACCCTGGGATCATGACCTGAGCCGAAGGCAGATGCTTAACTACTGAGCCACCCGGGTGCCCCTGGAATGAATTTCTTTTTAATGATAGCTAGAGAAATTATTTATAATAAGAAGTATTAGAGTCAGTCTACATCAATTTAAATTTTTGGTAACCTAAGCCTGAGACTGATTGCCAGGGGTATGTAGAAAGTAAAGCTTAGATAACTACTTCTATACACACAGCTGTTTTATATGTCGCACTTAGAAGAGCGAGAAATAATACATTTATTGAAGGAATGTTTTTTTCATTTTTTAATTAATTAATTAATTTATTTTTTTAGTAGGCTCCACGTCTAACATGGAGCCCAATGTGGGGCTTGAACTCAGGACCCAGAGATTGAGACCTAAGCTGAGATCAAGAGTTGGCCGCTTAACTGACTGAGCCACCGAAGCGCCCCTTTTTAAATTTCTCATTAATAAAAATGCACATTTCCTTTGACCTACACATACCACTTCTCACAATATGCCTTAGAGCATTTGTTTTTCCTACTTTTTTTTACAGGCCGCAGTAAGAAGCCTTTTATATCACAACCCAGTTCACACACACACACATAGGTGGATAGATACATGCACACGTATTCAATGGGACAGTTTTGACCCTGTGTAAAACATTCTTATTTCCTTTCTAATTCTCTTTATTCTATTGTTTTATTATATTAGATAAAATCCACGTCAATACCTAATTGATTTTACAAGCTATTAGTGGAGTTGAAAAACACTGCCTTACAGAACATCCACATACATATACAAGGTGATACAAGGATGTTCATTGCAGCCTTGTTGGTAGTGGTAACAAGTTGGAAACAACTGAAATACTCATCAGTAGGAAGAGTTCCATAAACTTTGTCCATAGTCTTAGATATTAAAAAAGGATGAGGAGAACCCTCATTTACTGTTGTAGACCTCTACGACACACTTTTGGGGCGCCTGGGTGGCTCATTTGGTTAAGTGGCCGACTCTTGATTTCGGCTCAGGTCATGATCTCAGGGTTGTGAGATTGAGCCCCGCATCAGGCTCTGCAGTGGGTGTGGAACCTGCTTAAGATTCTCTCTCCCGGGCGCCTGGGTGGCTCAGTCATTAATAGTCCGCCTTCGGCTCAGGTCATGGTCCCGGGGTCCTGGGATCGAGCCCCGCGTCGGGCTCCCTGCTCAGCGGGAGGCCTGCTTCTCCCTCTCCCACTCCCCCTGCTTGTGTTCCTGTTCTCGCTGTCTCTCTTTCTGTCAAATAAATAAATAAAATCTTAAAAAAAAAAATTCTCCTTCTCTCTCCCTCTGTCCCTCCACCCCATCTCTTTCTCTCCCCCTTTTAGAAAAAAATAAAAGACTGTTAATTGAAGAAAGTATGTTGTAGAACACTGAGTACAATATGATTATCTATATAAAAACAAAAAACACAAAACAAAACACTAACGTAAAGGTGAATGTACACCCAACCGATAATAGTGGATTTGGGGGAGGGGTGGTCAAGAGGCATTTTCTTTTTTTTTTTAAAGATTTTATTTATTTATTCATGAGAGACAGAGGAGGAGAGAGAGAGAGAGAGAAGCAGAGGGAGAAGCAGGCTCCCAAGGAGCAGGGAGCCCGATGCGGGACTCGATCCCAGGATCCTGGGATCATGACCTGAGCCGAAGGCAGACGCTTAACCATCTGAGCCACCCAGGCGCCCAAGGCATTTTCACTTTATATGAATAGTTTGAAATGTTTACATCAAGAATGAATTTATGTATTTTGTATTTAAAAGAATATAAAAATAAAAAAGACTGTTCAGTTACAGATGAGTTGGAGATTATTTTTGTCTGATGTTTAGTTGGCAAAAGCCCTTTTCAAATTAGTCTTTTGAAAGTAGCTTATTTCCTGGATTCACAGAATTTATTATCTTCAGTCAAGCAAAACTAATCTTGGTTTTTTTTCTTTACTTTTAATTTAATTTAATTTTTTAAATAATTTTTTATTGTTATGTTAATCACCATACATTACATCAGTTTTTGATGTAGTGTTCCATGATTCATTGTTTGTGCATAACACCCAGTGCTCCACGCAGAATGTGCCCTCTTTAATACCCATCACCAGGCTAACCCATCCCCCCACCCCCCTCCCCTCTAGAACCCTCAGTTTGTTTTTCAGAGTCCATCATCTCTAATGGTTCGTCTCCCCCTCCGACTTACTCCCCTTCATTCTTCCCCTCCTGCTATCTTCTTCTTCTTTTTTTTTCTTAACATATATTGCATTATTTGTTTCAGAATTGTTTTTGTTGTTTTAACAGAGAATGTTTTTACTGTAAACCAGAATGTAAAGCTTCCTGAAAACAGAAACCTGTCTGTCTTGCTCATCATTGTATCTCTAGTGCTTAGTATAGTGTCAATATTCAGTGAGTTTTCAAATATTTGTTGAATGAATAAGTAAGAATGAATGAACAGTAGTGTATCTTACTTCAGAGAGGCATTTGACCTATTTCTTACTATCCTTTTGGACAAGACAGAAAAATTTAAGCAGAGTGTAAATCTGTCTCTAGTGACATATACAAGGGCTCTGTAGTATCTGTAATATCTCTGTAGTTGACATATTTATCTTTATCTGTGACACATTAATGATAATAAGATTATCAGTTTCCAGATGGGAGAAATTGCTTCTATGTTAGATGGCAAAATTCAGAGAAATGTTTAAAGGTTTCATTAGGCGGACATGATAGTTTAAAGCAAGTAAGGTAAAATCTAACAGGAACAAATATTAAGGCTTATTATTTAAATGTTTAAAATGAATAGCTCAGTTGTGAGATGGAAGAATCCGACTTCTTAGTTCATTATGTTGGATATGTTGCAGTACTCAAAACCAGTCAAACTTCAACAGAGTCACAGTATCTAGCTCAATAGAGGTAACAGTCTTTGTATTCTGAATAAGTCAGACTATGTTTGGGATATATGTTCAATGCTGGGTGTCATATTTTATTTTGGACATTGTAGATGTTGAAATTGTCCCGAGGAAAGTAACCTAAGTGGCAAAGCATGTATAATAATGTTTGAAACTCCTTTTGAGCGTTTTCTTTCTTAAAGCATAGAACCTGTGAACTCTTGCCTAAAGCAGTCCCCATGACATGACCCCAAAGATCCGGTTGATTCTTTTGCATGGTCCTTTCATTTGAAGAAAAAAGTTTTGCTAACAGTGCAGAGGCACAGAGCCAATCAAGGGACCTACTTATAGGTCTGTGCTTGGGTTTATTGGATCATATTTTGCAGCCAAGTACCCTGTAACTTCTTGTAAATTTAATATTGAATTAGAGGACCCAGATGACATCGTTTCAGACAAATTCCTAAATAATTTTAAAATAGTAATTCCAGTAACACTCATGCAATGATAGACAAAGAAAAGGTAAACTGTAACCTTTTTTGGAGTATGTCAGCTTTTATTCCTAAAAAGGGGTGAGGGAAAAAGGAAATTGTTCTGGTATGGTACATATATCAGTGATTGGGAAAGGAAGATGCATTTCACCCTTGTAGGGGCTTTTCAAATTATAATCCTCCCCTCCTCCTCTTAGAGGATTTTAAAAATTAGTTTTATTGAGGTATAATGTACATGAAATGAAATACACCAATTTTTTTTAAAGATTTTATTTATTTATTTGAGAGAGAGAATGAGAGACAGAGAGCACGAGAGGGAAGAGGGTCAGAGGGAGAAGCAGACCCCCCACTGAGCAGGGAGCCCGATGTGGGACTTGATCCTGGGCCTCCAGGATCATGACCTGAGCCGAAGGCAGTCGCTTAACCAACTGAGCCACCCAGGCGCCCTGAAATTCACCAATTTTAAGTGTATAGTCCAGAGTTTATATAGAGTTTTGATAAATATAGACAGAAAAATATATACATGATAAATATATACATATACAAATATATACTATATATATTTTGATAAATATATACAGTAACCACTACTAAAATAAAAATACAGAACATTTTTATTACTGCAGAAATCCCTCATTTCTCTTTGCATTCAGTCTTCTTGCTTCACTTCCATACCCTGGTAATTATTTTGTTTCATGGCAATGAATTCCAACTTTGTTGAGATATAACTGATGTAAAACATTATATCAGTTTAAGGTATACAGTGTGCTGATTTGATATACATATGCCTTACAAAATGCTTACCACAGTAAAGTTAGTTAACGCACCTATCACCCTGGTAACTCTTGAGCTTTCTGCCACCACAGTTTTACATTTTTAGGTTTCATATAAATGCCCCCATATAGTCTTTTGTGTTTGGCTTCTTTCCTTTAGCATAATGCTTTTGAGAGTCCTCCTTGTTTTTGCATGTACCGTTAGTTTATTCTTTTTTATTGTTGAGTAGTCCTGCATTGTACGGGTACACATGGTCTGTTCAGTTATTCACTAGTTGATGGGCGTTTCCAGATATTCTTTTTGGCTTTTATAAATAAAGCTGCTGTGAAGATTCATGGACACATCTTTGTGGAGCATGTTTTCAGTTCTCTTAGGTAAATACCTAAGAGTGGGATTGCTAGATCATAGGGTAAGGGGATGAAACAGGGTTGGCCATGAGTTGGTAATTGTTGGCCATGAATTGTTGGTGCTGGTGATGGGTATGTAAAGGCTCTTCTACTTTTCTGTCTACCTTTGTATATGTTTAAACTTTTCTGTAATAAAGCCTTTTATTATCTCTTATTTCTTATTTATTCACAGGCAGTTATTTAGAATTGAAGGAGTAAAAAGTGTCTTTTTTGGACCAGATTTCATCACTGTTACAAAGGTAAACATAGGATTATGTAAAATAATGTATGAAGTTCTTTTAGTTTTTTTCTGAGTCCCAACATCCCTTTCTAGAATTTCCTTTTTTGATATATTTTATACATATTGTTATTAAAAATCTCTAAGTTTACTTCTCACATTTCTCAAGTTAGTTATTAAATAAAATTTTCAAGTTGAAATTAACTATGGTCCAAATCCCTCATTTTTCAGAAGAGAAAAACTTGAGCTTCAGAGGCTTAAGTGCAGGATTGTGGCCAGGGTTATGTATCTGCCCTACAGCAGGGCCACGACTCAACCTGGGCAGAACTAGAATTTAGGCTCCAAGTGTTATTTTTACTAAATCTTTTTTTTTCTTTCATAATTGAGATTTTATTGGTAGTTTTGATGTTTTTACTAGTTCTTAATTTAAATTGATAGAGTGAAAAGAAAAGCAAACAAATAATCAAACTGTATGCTTATGTATTTGACCAACAGATGAATATGTATCTCTTTTAAGGGGGGCTCTTTCATCATGGCCCATCTGCTGAAATACTTCAGAACTTCACAGATAAGAGCAGGGGATTGTGTTGTTCTGCAGCACTTGGTTAACCTCTAAATGTCAGAAAGTTGATCTAACTATGCTACCCATTCCAATAGCTGGTATCTGCTGCAAAAGGTGGTTTCATTTTTAAGTCTACTAGATTAATTAGAAATGAAGTGTTTAAATTTGAACTATGTATACTTTTAGGTCTGTTAATTGATATGTATACACTGAACTTAATCATTTGTTCAATATTATGTCAAAATCCAAAGTTTTCGGGGCGCCTGGGTGGCTCAGTTGGTGAAGCGTCTGCCTTCGGCTCAGGTCCTGATCCCAGGGGCCTGGGATCGAGCTCTCTGCTCAGCAGGGAGCCTGCTCTTCCTTCCCCCTCTACCCCCCCTCCAGCTTGTGCTCTCTCGCTCGCTCACTCTTTCTCTCTCAAATATATAAATAAAATCTTAAAAAAAAATCCAAAGTTTTCATGTAATCCTCTTAAGCAATTTGAAAGGATTACTCTGAGTTCTTGATGCACTGATAGGACTGATAAAAGTGGACTGGGTTAGTGACCTGTTAACAAAAGTCCAGTATGCTCTTGTAGCTTCTGTGTGTGCAGGAGAGTTAGTTTTCCTCTGTGGTGGTAATCCCGGTGGCCATGGTTGTTCTTGCAAATATACCAATTGTAAAAGGTTTTGTCGTGTTGTTTAAAGTGTTATTGGCTCTAAATTCTCACAAAGCCCTTTCTTGCCCATATCGTTTGAAGTGGCTGTCTCTCCAGGAGCTCATTACCCTCTTTATTGTCTTCATTGCACTTATCACTTAGTCACTTTTTTTTTTTTTGGTATATTTTTATTATGTGTCTTTGCTACATTGGAATGTACACTCCGTAAAGCTAGGGATTGCCCGACTTATTAAGTTCACCTAGACAGATGCCTAGCACATAGTGTGCACTTCAAGAAATTTTTATAGAAGGAAACAATGATGTAAGATTTCATAGACTGAATTTTCAGGCTTTAAGAGGTTTCTGCCGAAAGGATTGTGGTGAGTAAACCCATGCTGACAGATCCCTCATGTTTACCAGTTTAGAGACATCTGATATATCTTTGGTTTTCTTCAGTTTGCTTTCTTTGATATTTTTTGAGGGTGGGGGGAGGATCTGCTCTTGTTTAATATTTCCAGCATGGCTGGTATGGCATTCACATAGCAGAAGTGCTTTACATATATTACCTAATTTAATTATTTAAACTAGGTATTCTTGTCTTCATTTTACAAATGGCAAATTATGTATTTATTTTTTTTATTTTTATTTTTATTTTTTAAGATTTTATTTATTTATTTGACACACAGAGAGAGATAGCGAGAGAGAGAGAGGGAGAGAGCACAAGCAGGGGGAGCGGCAGGCAGAGAGAGAAGCAGGCTTCCTGCCTGAGCAGGGAGCCCGATGTGGGGCTCGATCCCGGGACCCTGGGATCATGACCTGAGCTGAAGGCAGCGGTTTAACCAACTGAGCCACCCAGGCGCCCCAAATTATGTATTTATTTTAACAAGTTCTTTTTTTGTCCTTTTATATACAGCCTATGGCATATAAAAATTTTTTTAGATGAAAATGTGATTATATCTTACAGAGTTTTTTTCTTTGATTTTGGTAAGTCATCTTTTATTTCCTTTCTCATTCATAATTCAATTACTCTTTGGAATTTCTCCAGCCCCACTATTTTTTCTTAAGTGAAGTGACATAACTAATAAATAATAAGTTAGGGCATGTATTGAAATTTAATAGGCAGAATAGTAGATTTGTTTTCTTTCAGTTACCTTTTTTTTTTTTAAAGACTTTATGTATTTGACAGAGAGAGACACAGCGAGAGAGGGAACACAAGCAGGGGAGACTGGGAGAGGGAGAAGCAGACTTCCCGCAGAGCAGGGAGCCCGATGCGGAGCTTGATCCCAGGACCCTGGGATCAGGGCCTGAGCTGAAGGCAGATGTTTAACGACTGAGCCACCCAGGCACCCCTTTCAGTTACCTTTCTTATGGACTATCTCATCTACCTGATATCTTCAGCTATTGCCTATTTCCTTTTCTGATTTGTAATTGATGATTCAGAGACTTCCTTATGCATGATTTGTTATTTATTTATTTAAAGTGAATAATTTATTTCTTTTGCAGAGTAAGGATAATTTTCTTTCCTTTTTTTTTTTTTAAAGATTTTATTTATTTATTTGACAGAGAGAAACACAGCGAGAGAGGGAACATAAGCAGGGGGAGAGGGAGAGGGAGAAGCAGGCTTCCTGCAGGGCAGGGAGCCTGATGTGGGGCTCAATCCCAGGGCCCTGGGATCATGACCTGAGCCAAAGGCAGATGCTTAACGACTGACCCACCCAGGCACCCCAAGGATAGTTTTCTATTCTGTTCTTTGAAATAACTTTGATAATTCCAATGTTTTTTTTTAAGTAAGCTCTACGCCCAACGTGGGGCTTAAACTCAGAACCCCAAGTTCAAGAGTCAGATGCTGTACTGACTGAGCCAGCCAGGTGCCCCTGTTATTTTTTTCTAATGAGTAAATGTATTTGAAGCTTATGTACTGCCTTTTTTTCTCATTCAGACAACTTCAGAATATTTTTCTTTTTTTATTACCAATATTTCCCTACTCAGTAGAGCCCACTATTTACTGAAGATCTGAAGTAGCCCTCTGATCCATCTTCCAAATAAGTTATTAAAATGTTATCCAGAGCCAGTTCCCATTCCCAGTCACTAAGGCAACTCACTAGTTTTGCTCTTGTATCCATAGCAGTGCCCATTTATCTTGTCTTCTGTATACCATATCTAAATTGTTTTTTTTTTTAAAGATTTTATTTATTTGAGAGAGAGAGTGTGTGCAAGCAGAGAGAGAGAGTCTCAAGCAGACTCCATGCTGAGCAAGGAGCCTGATGTGGGGCTCGATCCCAGGACCCTGAGATCATGACCTGAGCTGAAATCAAGAGGGAGATGCTCAACCAACTGAGCCACCCAGGCGCACCTAGATTGGTTCTTAGTCCATGACAAAAATAGCCCCTTTTATTTATGTAGACTCGTTTTTTAATAGTATTTAAGCATAGCCAGTAGCTAACAGCCTCCTGAGAATCTAAATGGACTGCATCTAATAGTCTTTCCTCCTAAAGAGCTCTCCTTTAAATAACTTAAAGAGGGCCCCTGGGTGGCTCAGTCGGTTAAGCAACTGCCTCCGGCTCAGGTCATGATCCTGGGGTCCTGGGATCAAGTCCCGCATCGGGCTCTCCCTGCTCTGCGGGGAGCCTGCTGTTCCCTCTGCCTCTGCCTGCCACTCCCTCTGCTTATGCCCTCTTTCTCTCTCTGTCAAATAAGTAAATAAAATCTTTAAAAAAATATATATATATAAAACTAAAAGAAAACATGTTCCCTTTCTCTTTTTGGATATTAGTACTATTTGGGTATTTAGTAATTGTGCCTTTTTTTGATGGAATCAACTAGTTGGCCAGACATAGAGGTGACATAGGTATGGATTCTTTCTTAAGCATACCAGGCTTGTTGGAGGTCCACAAGTCTTCTAGCACAACACCATAGATAAGACATCTTACATGTTTTGGTTCTACAGTTGTGTCACTGGATTTCTTTAGTACTCTTAAGTAATATATGAGTTGAATTTTTTGGATACTTGTGGGATATCCTGTATATTTGATCAAGCAACTCTATCCTATTTTCTTTAAAGGAATGGGAAGTCTCTTTATCATTCTCTTTAAACACTGAATTCATTCAGTGTTTTAATTCTCTTCACCTCATGATAAAGTATCTTTTAATCATTGTGGTATCCCCTGTACAAGGCATGGTACATTTAACATAAGTTTGATGAATGAATGGATGAATGTTTGAGGAATGTTCTAAGATTATATCTTCCAAAGTCCTTATAAACCAGATCCGTTAAGGACTGGAATTGACAGGTCTTCTCCATAAATGAGTGCTGTTGTTACACAGTATAGGATATATATAGGAAAAGATTCTTGAAAGATACAAAGTATTATTTTGTATTAGTCTTTGCTCTTGATTAGAAATGTAGCATTTTCCTTTAAATATTTACAGGAAAGTGAAGAGTTAGACTGGAATTTACTGAAACCAGATATTTATGCAACAATCATGGATTTCTTTGCTTCTGGCTTACCCTTAGTTACTGAGGAAACATCTTCAGGAGAAGCAGGTATTGTGTTGGATAGTTAATATTTAATTTAAAAAAACTTTTCTATTTTCTTCGCATTTGTCTTGATTTTGGAAGTCATGGTAATATAGATTTTTATCATTGTTTAGATCTGGAACCAATTCCAGAGGGAACAGAACTTCGCATATACTAGTTTTATTCATCATTTTTGAAAACTTGTGCGTAAATTGAATATATTATGCAAAACTGGTGTTTTTCAATTTTAAAAATTTTCAGACATACCGGAAATATTATGATGTATACCAATTTGCTCTTCTCTCAGATTTAACAGATGTTAATTTTTTGCCATAATTGCTTGAGACCCATTTTAATTTTTTTTAAAGATTTTATTTACTTGAGAGAGAGTGAGCAAGAGAGAGCACGAGCAGGGTGAAGGGCAGAGGGAGAAGCAGACTCCCTGCTGAGCAGGGAGCCTGATGTGGGACTCAGTCCCAGGACTCCAGGATCATGACCTGAGCCGAAGGCAGACGCTTTAATGGACTGAGCCACCCAGGCCCCCGAGACCCATTTTTAAATTTTTTTTTTTTAAAGATTTTATTTATTTATTTGACAGAGAGAGAGACAGCGAGAGAGGGAACACAAGCAGGGGGAGTGGGAGAGGGAGAAGCAGGCTTCCCGCGGAGCAGGGAGCCCGATGCGGGGCTCGTTCCCAGGACCCTGGGATCATGACCTGAGCTGAAGGCAGTCGCTTAACCGACTGAGCCACCCAGGCGCCCCGAGACCCATTTTTAAATAGAACATTAAAGACACAGCCGAGACCTCATAACCTCCATCCATTGCTTTCCCCTTTCTATTTCCAGAGATGTATGTAAACCTGGTTTGTTTTTAAACTTTTACTACACGTATAAGTCTCTGCGGGGAATATATGGTATTGGTTTTTTTAAACTTTAAATAATGTGTGTTATATGCAACTTGCCATTTTTCACTGAGCATAATATTTTGAAATACAACCATTTTGAAAAAAATGTTCTAGTTTATTTAAGTGCTAGATAGTATTGTTATATGAATAAACTACAGTGAGTGAATTTGTTCCTTATTGTCAAGTGAATTGTTTGTGCTCATTTCTATTACAAACATTGCTACAGTGGGCATCCTTGTACAAGTCTCTGTGGGTATGTGGAGAATTTCTTTAGGGTATATTCCTAAAAACAGAATTGCTGTATTGTAAATTGTTTTAATTTACATGCAGATTAGCAGGATATAAGAATTTGAACTTTCTTATATCTTCATCATCACTTAGTGTCTTTTACTTTTTTTTTAAACCAATATGTTAAGTATAAATGGTACCCTGTTTTAATTGCAGTTCCTTGATTTACACTGAGCCTGAAGGTTTTCATATGTTTACTGGTCATTATTTTTCTTGTCAGTAAATTTCCTGTTCATAATCTTTACCCATTGTTTAAAAATTGAGTTGTATTTTTTTTTTTTGGTATTTTTTAGCAGGTTTTTGAAAAATATTCCGGGTATTAATCCTTTGTTAGGTATATTCATTGCAAAGAACTTCTCCCTAATCATTCTTTATCTTCTCACTATGTTTAGGATTTTTGTCATTTAGAAATTTTTCTTTTTCCAGTTTTTTAAAAGGCATAACATTTTACGAATTTGCATGTAAACTTTTCTCAGAGGCCATGTTAATCTTCTCTGTTTCATTCCAGTTTTAGTATTTATGCTGTTGAAGCAAGCACAGACGTTTTTCTTTTTCATGTGGTCACATATATTCATCTTTTCCTTTGTGGTTTGTGCTTTTTGTACCTTTTGAATAAGTTACTTTGTGTAAAGCACTTGGAAGACTAACTGCATATGGAGCTTAGTATTAGCTGTGACTATTACAATTTGTTGTTGATGAAGTTTTTCTTTCCCCTAGTATCATAATGATATTGTCATATGTGTTTACATGTGCATATACATGTACACACAAAAATTTGTACTGTCGTCTTTAGATGAACAATTCCACTTCTAGATATATATCCTAAATGAGTCCTGTAAATGTACACAAAATAATACATGAAGCATGTTCATTGAAATATTTTAAAAATACATCAGCAATTAAAAGGAATGAACTAGATTTAGAGATACCAATGTGAAAAGATATAAAAGAAAATACTAACTGATTAAGGAAAATTGAAGGGTACATTTATTTACATACTTTTACATTTATACCATTTATGCAAACTTGAAATAGTATCTCAAACAATTATATTTGTTCTTGGTGGGTATATAATACATAAAATTGATAGAATGTTTGTAGAGCCACTTGACTACACCTCTCCAGATTAAAAAATACGCAAGCCTGTTGACCCAAATATCCCACCATTAGGAATTTATCTCATAGATATGTAGATATGTGAGAAATATCTCAGATGTTGCAAAAGTACACATAAGCACGTATGCTTCAGATTGTTAGAAATAGTAACAAACTGGAAACAACTGAAATAATTGAGAAATTAGCTAAATGAAAAGAAATCCAGGGCGCCTGGGTGGCTCAGTTGGTTAGGCGACTGCCTTCGGCTCAGGTCATGATCCTGGAGTCCCAGGATTGAGTCCCGCATCAGGCTCCCTGTTTGGCGGGGAGTCTGCTTCTCCCTCTGACCCTCTTCCCTCTCGTGCTCTCTATCTCTCATTCTCTCTCTCTCAAATAAATAAATAAAATCTTAAAAAAAGAAAAGAAAAGAAATCCATACAATTACTGTGTACCTATTTTAAAAATTGAGGCATATCTATATATGCTGATATTGAAAGGCCTTTTAGATATATTAAATAGAAAAAAGATACAGAACAGTGTGTGTATGTGATCTGTGTAAATTTGCACATGTAAATTTAATGTAAATGTACTAGAAAGATATATGCTAAACTATGATAGTGGTTGTTTATGGAATGATAGTGGGGAATGGAACTTAGGTTTGCTGGCATAAGAGAATTTTTTATTTTTTTTTATTTATTTTATTTATTTTATTTTTTTATTTTTTATTTTTTTA